TCATCGTACTCGTGTATAGACAACTGTTATAAACAATTGCTAATATCTAGTAAACCACATCACTTACGGCTACAAAAATTATTGGAGAATATAAACAGAAGTCCATTCTACATTCCTCATGATTAAAAGTGTATAATTAATCACGCATTTCTATTGAAATAACCAGAATGTGTGACGATTGAATGCGACGGGTGTAATACTCTTCCATAGAATGTTTAATAACTCATTATCTACGAAGAATTTGTGAACTTTTTGTGTAGGAGAATGAAGTGTGGACCTTTAGTAACTTTCTCATATAGATTTTAATGCTCTAGAACCTTTCGATAATTAATTATTAACAATTCTAGCAGGTGATGTCAGGAACGGTACCGCATACCGTCACGTATCTTTCCGGTTTTTCAATAATTTTACAGCTTTCTACTAAATTCTCGTGCAAATAACTATACGCATTTGAAAGGCAACTCCTTTAACTACATTCTCATATAACTTTTATGAACATATTCCGTTTAGTTTAGGAGTTATTCAATATTATTTGGAAGCGTCCCTATTCATCGTACTCGCGTCAAGTGGAATCTTATAAACAATCGCGAATATTTAATAAACCACACCACTTACGGTTACGAAACTAATTGCAGAATATAGATAAAAGTCCATTCCACATTCTCCATGCTTAAAAGTGCATAATTAATCATGCATATTCGTGAAAATGACGGAAATCCATTACGCTTGAATACGACGAGTTTAATACTGATCCAAATAATATTTAATAACTCATTATCTGCGAAGAATTTGTTAACTTTTAGAATTGAAGAATGAAGTGTGAACCTTCAGCAACTTTCTTATATAGTTTTTAATAGGCTAAACCCTCTCAATAATTAGTTATTAACAATTTTAGCACGGGATGTCGGGAATGATGCCGTCTACGTTTATATACGTTTACGGTTTTTCAATAATTTCATAGCTTTCTAATGAATTCTCGTACAAATAACTATACGTATCTGAAAGGAAAATCCTTCAGCTACATTCTTGTATAATTTTTATAAACAGATTCAGTTTAGTTTAGGAGTTATGAAATATTATATGGGAGCGTCCCCTATTCATCGTACTCGAGTATAGCGAACTGTTACAAACAATTGCTAATATCTAATAACCCACACCACTTACGGCTGCCAGACAAATTGCAGAACATAGATAAACGTTCATTCTACATTCTACAAGCTTTAAAGTGTATAATTAGTCACGCATTAGCCTGTCCTTATCTAAGTTAACATTTACGTTTAATTTTTTACCAGAGGTACTATATTGTAACCACAGATGTCAGCACTAGGACTATTGGATGATGCTGCCAGCTAGTAGACAATTTTAGAATTAATCGTCACAGTTTTTCAGCTTTGGACGATTAGTCTATTCTAGGGATCGGCAACCCCAGCTTTCTGCAAAGTTCTCATGCAACTAACTACACGCGTCTGAAAGACAATTCCTTCAGCTACATTCTTATATAATTTTATATGGATGATTAGTCTATTCCAGGGATCGGCAACCCCAGCTTTCTGCAAAATTCTCATGCAACTAATTACACGCGTCTGAAAGACAAATCCTTCAGCTACATTCTTGTATAATTTTTATAAACAGATTCAGTTTAGTTTAGGAGTTATTAAATATTATTTTGGAGCGTCCCCTATTCATCGTACTCGTGTATAGACATCTGTTATAAACAATTGCTAATATCTAGTAAACCACATTACTTACGGCTACAAAAATTATTAGAGAATATAAACAAAAGTCCATTCTACATTCCTCATGATTAAAAGTGCATAATTAATCACGCATTTCTATTGAAATAACCAGAATGTGTTACGATTGAATACGACGAGTTTAGTACTGATCCAAATAATATTTAATAACTCATTATCTACGAAGAATTTGTGAACTTTTTATATTGAAAAATGAAGTATAGACCTTTAGTAACTTTCTCATATAGATATTAATGCTCTAGACCCCTTCAATAATTAGTTATTAACAATTTTAGCAGGTGATGTCGGGAACGATACCGCATACCGTCAAGCACCTTTCCGGTTTTTCAATAATTTTACAGCTTTCTACTAAATTCTCGTGCAAATAGCTATACGCATTTGAAAGGTAACTCCTTTAGCTACATTCTCATATAATTTTTATTAACATATTCCGTCTTGTTTAAGACTTATTAAACTTTTTTTGGGAGAGTATTATATCCGTCGCATTCAATCGTAACATACTTTCGTTGTTTCTATAGAAATGCATAACTAATTACACACTTTTAAGCATGGAGAATGTAGAATGAACTTTTATCTATATTCTACAATTAGTTTTGTAACCGTAAATGGTGTGGTTTATTAAATATTAGCAGTTGTTTATAAGATTCGACTTGACTCGAGTGCGATGAATAGGGACTCTCTCCTATAGTATTTAATAACTCTTAAACTAAACGGAATATGTTAATAAAAGCTCTATGAGAATCTAGCTAAAGGAGCTACCTTTCAAATGCATATAGTTAGTTGTGTGGGAATTTAGCAGAAAGCTATGAAATTATTGAAAAACCGTAAACTTATATAAGTGTAAACGGCATCATTCCCGACATCACGTACTAAATTGTTAATAACTAATTATTCAGAGGGTTTAGCGTACTAAAAACTATACGTGAAAGTTGCTGAAGGTTCACACTACATTCTTCAATTCTAAAAGTTCACAATATAATTGGAATTATGGAGTTATTAATGATTTTTCACCGACCGGCTTGACTTAGGGCCTGATTGACGGAGCCCAGCGGCCCGCCAGCCAATAGGAAACATTCTCTCTCTATCCTTGTCGCACACTAGTGCTTTCCTCGTCTAATACCTCTGTTCACATTCTGTGTCCCGCGTAACAAGTTGTCAGTTCGTGGATCCAAACACGAGATGGCGTTACTTTCGTCTGGTAAATTTTTCTGTCCTTGTCTATACCTATTCCTTTCCTTGTCTAACACGCGGTAGTATCGCTGTCCTTGTCTACCGCTATTCCTTTCCTTGTTCAACACGCGGTGCTATCGCTATCCTTGTTTACCGCTATTCCTTTCCTTGTCTCGCACGCGTTAGTATTACTGTCCTTGTCTACCGCTATTCCTTTCCTTGTCTAACACGCGGTAGTATCGCTATCCTTGTCTACCGCTATACCTTTCCTTGTCTAACACAGGATACTATTGCTATCCTTGTCTACCCATATTCCTTTCCTTGTCTAATACGCGGCAATATTACTGTCCTTATCTACTGATATTTTTTTCCTTGTCTAACAGTCTCCTTGTCTCTTTTTTCCTTGTCTCTAGTGCTATCCTCGTCTTCTGATAATCCTTTCTTTGACTTTCTCATTTCTGTATTGCTAAATACCTGGACGAGTTATCCGTAGCAAGCGTGACTAAATACATATAAGCGACTGCTAAGTACTCCGGTGTCCGTCTCGCTCGACGGCTATATTAAGAGTGTCCTCTCCGCGACGTATCCTGCGTTGCTCCGAAAAACCGTTGGAGCCCGCTCGTTCAACTTTCCGGGGAAAGGGCTTAGTTTATGGTACTCTCAGGTACCCGCGCGCTTTCTCTTCCAGGGTGACAAAGTCCAGGCCACCATTTTGAATGTATACAAAGTTAAGATATTTGTCTCTCAACCCCTGTATGCGAAACGGCCGCTACGATTTTGCCGGTATTTCCGCGAAACTGATGAACAAATTTTTCAAACAAAAGTTAATCAGTATTCAGTTGACAATAAATCGTGTTAATAAAAATTTACAAAAAAGCTTTTATTCGATAAAAAATATAGATCGCTACAATTTTTTTAAATGAAACCATATATTTTTTTATGTGCCAATCAATGCATATTTGAATTCTCTTCGAAAAAGTATTAGAGGACTTAGGTCTAAAATTGATTAATTTAGAAGTTATGATTTTTGTCCCGAGATATTTGAATTCTCTTCAAAAAAGTATTAGAGGACTTAGGTCTAAAATTGATTAATTTAGAAGTTATGATTTTTGTCCCGAGAATCAAAGGGAATCTAATTCTTATTCATGCGCACAGGTTGCTCGAGCGTCACGTGGTGACGTAGATTATTGGCGGAAAAAGCCGAACAGGCTTCGCACACGGACAGAGCTACCGGTACACTTGTGTGAGAGCACGAGGACGGTATAGTGGGAGACGACGGTAAGTCATAGTGGGGGTAACTGCTTTCGCCCACGGCCCACGATTCTGGCATCACTGCCTTGAGCTAAGGGAAGAGTCCTTGTGTGCGGTGTAATAAGTGAGTTGTGTGAACATGGTGTCTTGTGTAATCCCATATTTTAGTGAACCAAATATATATACTTTGTTAATTAAGTGTAAACCTCGTCCAACTACTTACATTGCCTGGCAACTGCAACAGGTTATGGTCCCAGAGCACATGTAAGTGAGATATATATATGCATAAATAAATAAAGTGAGGTTAGTTCTTGTCGCGTCCCACGCGTTAGTAGAAAGAAAGAAATCATTAGTGCCGTTAATACACAATAAATCGAAAAATTAGACAGTTTTAATTACGAAAGATGAAAGATTCAGTGTGCTACGATACAACAAATTGTGGGGTTATATAAATAGATCTATCGTAAAAACCGAAAAGAACGCAACACGTGGACTCACG